AATGCCATTTTCGTGTGGACAGTTTATCCTCTATTTACGTGGATACTAAATGTCCTACACATATGTAAAGCGTATGACCTATCCATGGGAATAGTTTATGCCCTATTTATGTGGATATTGTAAGGCCTACACACGTGTGTTGCGTCTGCCCTATCACTGTGGATAGTTTACGCCCTATTCATGTGGATAGTTTATGCCCTTCTCATATAGATAGTGTATGCCCTAGTCATATGATGGTGCATGCACTACACATATAGTAAATTAAAGAAATAAACATAGGCAAGTTGATGCAGGCGTTCCTTATTCAAAATCGATAAATTTAACTTTCTATTGTTTTTTTTTTGTTTTCGTTTTGCTATCCCTATTGTAAAAACTATCCTCGGAAGTCATTGTTAGTGCTTACAACATTTCAGACTTAGGATGAGGCACCTTTAGAGGGCCTGGTATGTTTGCGAAGCCTTACGTCATTTGGAATAAAACTGTATGGCCTTGTAAATCTACATCACGTGCTATTTCGCTCGCAGAGATTAGAATCGTAATCAAATGCACGAGACATGAATCGACGAATCGAAATCTGTAGGCGGATAATAAATGAACGTAGCAAATCTTTCAAGGCCGGCGTCAAAGCGTAAAATACACCACACATGTATGATACATTCAGATAGGCTCAAAGTGTTCAACTCTTATGTTTGATTCAATATGGACCAAATGAAATTACATTATGTACCGGTATTAATAATGCGACAGTATTTAAGAAGGGTAAAATCGTTGGAGAGTTTAGCGCGCTATGTGACACACACCCAATCAAGCAAGTTCTTACATTGACCACTATTCACAGACTCTACCATTGACTACTATTCACAGACTCTACCATTGACTACTATTCACAGACTCTACCATTGACTACTATTCACAGACTCTACCATTGACTACTATTCACAGACTCTACCATTGACTACTATTTACCGATATCCGAAATTAAAAAAGTAACACAATATATGAATGGGCTCTTTGGATACGAATCGACGCATGGTAGGTCCTCTATTTAGGGGTACAGCGACTAAATTTTACGGCGATTAAGAACAAAAGCGTCTATTAGTAATAGTGCTACTACCTTCTAGAAATAGGACATGGGAACTGGGTTATTTTATTTTTATTTACACAAATAAACTAAATTATTTTGGCCGATCGAGTACACAGTTGTATGAAACGTTTCCTTTTTTTTAACTCCGTCTCTTGAGAAATGTACACAACATGGCAACAGAATTGATTTGAAAGACACTTTGAGTTTGAAGATTTGCTGTCAATGTATACAACAAGACACTTATCTCCTTTCATCCTAGTGTATGTTCCAATCTAGATTCGTTAAAGCTAAAAATAGTTAATCTAGATCATTGTGACAACGTCTTGAAGAGTGTGGATGATTGTATCAAATATTGGCTTAAACATTGGCGAAAACATATTGTTAATCTGTTTTATTTTAAATTTATTTTCTTTATCAGGAATTTTTGTTCTTCACATTTTTGATCCAAGTCTTAAGCTTTTGGCTCTGATGAATTTCTCACACACGGGAGATAAAACAAAGCAACTTAAAACTTTTTTTTTTAAAAAAAAAACGCCTCTGAAATGTGAGACTTCTTTGAAATCTGCTCTTACGACAACGAAAATAAAAAAAATAAAGCCGCGTTTATTAATAGTTAACATTCCCGCAACAGACACCGTCTTGCGATCATGGGATATCAGCTCTGCTGGGTTACCGCATGGCTGCGGTTCATGCTGTCATGCTGGATACTTCCTCTTTGTCTGGATTTTAAATGTTGAAAGATAACATGTCGGTGGATGGAGTAACTGCATAGGAAATAAACTTCAGGTAAGTCAAGTTTAATCATCCTATATAGTTGTGCGTTCCTAGCAATATACGTATATGAATGCATAGTATATGTGCTTTAAAATGTATATAGCTCATTCTCTTATATATATATATATATATATATATATATATATATATATATATATATATATATATATATATATATATATATATATATATATATATATATATATATATATATATATATATATATATATAAATTGATGTTATCAACATTTCAAGACACAATAGTTAAACAGCTTGTGACATGTATTATCGACATATTGAGTCCCCAGTAATCACTGTGTCCAATTTCACAGATCAATTCTTAGTGATATTAAGGTTGTGCCCTTAACCCCACGTGTTGCACACCGATCAATTAGTCGACCATCGACTGCATGGCACATGCTGCTGGGGAGTGTTGCATCAATTTATATCGGATAGGTCACTAAGTACAGACACATTCTCAATAATATTGGATTAGGGACACAGGCGCACATCACACACACACACACACACACATATTCTTTCACGCTCAGACACACGCTCACAAAGACACACACACGCGCGCGCGACACGTAGAAACGTGCTGTTCACGATGACGGAATCATTTTAATGTGGTACGGTCCTTGGGGGTCCTTACAATTTGAGAAGAGATGGTTTTGGTGGACTCTATGATATATTTCGTCGATTTCTTTTCCTGGATAGACTTGACTACCTATGGAGTACATACAGATTTAGTCATCAATTATTTGACAAGTGGAGGGAAAACAATTGTGTGTGACTGTGTGTGTGTGAGAGAAGGGGGTGGGGGTGTGAATTATTAGACGAGCCCAGAATAACGTTGTGAGTACATGTCATAAAATATTGACCCAGAGATACAAAACATAAATATTTAGCATGGATTTCATTTAAATTAGTTTGCATACGTTGTCATTAAAGACACATATTTATTACGGTTGTGCACAGGGCTATCTGCATGACCATGTAAAAAATAAAACCTTAAGAAATAAAAAAAAATAAACAAAAACCTTGACTGATACAGATGGACATTGACTGGAATATACTAAGCCTGAGTAGGAGCCTCGAAAATTATAACAGAAGACCTAAAAAATAATTAAAACCGTTAATACTGCATTACAAGAAATGCGATGGGAAAAGGCAGACATTCGCAAAACTAAAGACTACACCATCTGTTATGGTGGTGACAACACCAACATTCTTGGAACAGGATCTGCTGTCAAGAGAGAAGCAATCGGTGAAGTAATGGGTCTTAAGGCTGAGATTGAAAGATTGTGAACTTTGCGTGTGTGGAAAAGAAATGTTCAACGCAACAGTAATAAATGTTCATGCTCCCGCCGAGGACAGATGGTCACATGAATAAGTTATTGTAGGAGACGATGTAAAATGTCTATGATGCGGCACCACGACATGATATTTAAACGGGTATTGCCGTTTTGAAAGCCAAACTAGGGAAATAAAAAGTGTGTATGCCCACTTTTGGCAAGGAGGGTCTTCATAAAGAATCCAATGAAAATGGGATCCGACACAAAGACTCTCTTCAGGAAGAAGGATGACAACAGCATCAAGTTTTCACACCAAAAAATAATATAGTTTTACATAAAAGTTACCAGATGGAATCACCAACAACCAAATTGACCATGTTCTAATAGTTCTAAGTGACCGAGGCATGTACAAGACATCTTCTATATATTAAGGGCCAACGATCAATTTATTGATCATTTTAGATATACTAGATTTACGAAGATATCGAAGAGCAGCTGCAGACGCTGACCATTTACATGTAAGTGTTCAATATAAGCATAATTAAAAAAATACTGAAACTAAAGACAAAGACAATATGATTACCAAAAACTTACCAGAGACCAACTGACCGTAAAAACTTACCAACATGAAGTAGAAGCACAACTAGACGCATCACAGAAGGAAATATACAGAGAAAACTAGTTGCATGAACAGTGGGATAGGGGAAGGAAGTGGAGTGGCAGCTCAAAGCCCTACTTGGGTGGTAGCGCCACAGGGATGGATGGGAGGTCTAAGTAGAAGGAAGTGGTGTGGCAGCTCAAAGCCATACTTGGGTAGTAGCGCCACAAGGTTGGATGGGAGGTCTAAGTAGAAGGAAGTGGTGTGGCAGCTCAAAGCCGTACTTGGGTAGTAGCGCCACAAGGTTGGATGGGAGGTCTAAGTAGAAGGAAGTGGTGTGGCAGCTCATAGCCATACTTGGGTAGTAGCGCCACAAGGTTGGATGGGAGGTCTAAGTAGAAGGAAGTGGTGTGGCAGCTCAAAGCCATACTTGGGTAGTAGCGCCACAAGGTTGGATGGGAGGTCTAAGTAGAAGGAAGTGTTGAGGCGGGCCAATGCCCTATATCGGCTTTAGCCACACATGGATTTAATATAAATTATTTAAATTAATTTCTATATGTTGTCATTTAACAATTAGCTTTAAGACTACAGATGAGTTAACTGTCAGCGAGATAGTGTTAGATAACTGGAAAATATTCCCCATTTATCAAACGGGTTTAGTTATCTCCCTGTCAATGCATTTATTCATAATACAATGTAAATTATACAAATTATTTATTGTTATTTTAATAATTTTTTTCTTTAAATCAGATCTTACGCGATACAAATAAATAAATACATATTGACCGAAACAAACTCCAAATCATTCCACCCCACCCCTGTTTTATGCACCTACAATTTCACAGTCTGTCTCAAGTTGTATGAAGACTAAAAAGGGCAAATGAGAAACTAGACCGGAGAATGCACTGACTAAGTCGCACTGTGTTTAATAATGCAAGGCCTGGTTAATTCCTTACGTCGCTCTCACTCTAATTACCTGCGTTGATTCGAGATCTCTGGATTAGCTAGTCCTCGAGTAGAGCCCAATATTGCTCGCAGTTGGTCCCAACGTCAAGAACTTTGATTTACCCACAGTAGGTTATGTCAGAGGCTGATCTAGCCATGGGGTAACTCGTCAGTGGCGTAGCTATTCTATCGGGCTCTTTGCGTAATGTCTTTTTTTGTCAGTGTGCTAACCTTATATTGTTTCACATAAAAAAGTGGTCCATGTAATTTTCGTTTGTATCCCACTGTGTTTGAGCTACGCTGATAAGACAACGGATATTAAATGAATCAGAATGAAGAGACGGACACCAGTTATTATAAAGTAATCAGCCCACTGGCATGAATGTATTACTTGGAAGGTACTAAGGGAAAAAGTACATCATTTTGTTTCCCTTTCAATTTTTCCCTGTACATCAAACATATTTCATCGAGCTCCCCTTGTCAGATGTTGTTGAGAAAACTATTAGTTGATGGATTCATTTTTTATAAATTCTTCAGCATTTCAAACTTGTGAGTTAAATCTATTAAGGTTTGTTTCACCATGGCTTTCAGTGTTGTTTAATCAGTTTATATTTGATATTTGCAAAAAAAAATATAATTCATTATTAATACAATATGTAAAATGTGTTATCATGAATGATTCTTTAATGAATAGGTGTTTTAAGCTAGATTAAATTAGCGTTACATCTCTCAAAAATTATATGTCTTTCAATTACTTGACACAAATAAACCACATTTACGAAATTTCAAAATCACATAACGCGAGACGGGATCAACTTTGTCAGCTTAAAATCTCTGCGTTGATTTGGATCGGTAAGTTTAGCGAGTGTTTTAGACATAATCTACCGTCACTATGTACGTAATCATAATCCTAATTTAAATAAAAACAATATTTTTGATTGGTGGATCAAGTTAATCGATTTATAACTTAATTTAATAGAAGGAAAACTTTTTTAAAAAAATTAATTGAATGTTCAGTTCGAGGTAACTATCATGTTTCATGGCGTTGTTACATCCCTTACATATTATTTATGCTAGCTATCGTTCTCAATAAAAAAAAATGCCTGCAAATATTTTATTTTTGTATGGACAATCAGAGAATTCGCAGGGGATGTGTTTGTGGTGTCAAAGAGGCCGTGATTGAATAACGTTAGAGAAACACTGATTTAGATCGTCTAAATATGTTGTGAATGTTACAGGAAATAAAATTTGTGGAAAACTTTTGCACTGCAGTCAGAGAAACTCGTTGTTAGTTTTATTTTATACCGTAGCAACACAGCAGTACAAGCTGGTAGGAGATGAGAATTGTTTCCTTTAAACAAATGTACACGACCTAGGACTTCTTGAACTGCATGAACAATTACCCAATGGTAATTATTCTATCAATGACAAAATTAATTTATTTAAGTCACGTCCTCAGATATTAATACATAAGAAGATAAAAAAAAAACACTAATTAATAAACAGGTACAGCTATTTTATTTTACATCCAACATTCAATGATGTTACGTTCAACGTTCCATACATTAACATTAGGTTGTAGGTCTACATATTATTTTATCTTTTTCTTTACAGTTTACATCGACGATGATCATTTAAGTTGATTATTAGAGTTGGAGCCTTAAGGAGCAGCCCGAATTCGTCTAGCCTTAAGGAGCAGCCCGAATTTAGTCTTAACATGACGTGCCTTGAACCAGTCCTGAAGTGGAACAACTCAAACAAAATTCACCCTCTCCACAAACAACTGCATAACTTGACTAGGAACCTGACCAATGATGGTAACCCTCCCTTGACACACGCGGTGGTGAGAGGCAGAGTCCAAGATGTCCGGTTCCTGTTAGACCAAGGGGCAAGGGTCAATGCGACCAACCACCACGGGCAGACACCGCTCATGGCGGCCACGGTCTCAAGGAATTTGGACGTCTTTAAGATGCTGCTCGCCAGTGGAGCTGACGTCAACGCAAAAGATGACGTGGATCAGACAGCGCTGATGTACGCTGCACAGTCAGGCCTGAGTTCAGCCGTGGAGCTGCTGTATCAGCATAAGGCAGCGTTGGCGGCCGTGGACAAATTTGGAAGGAACACGTTGATGTTAGCGGCGCAAGCGGACAAGGCGGGGATTGTACGGCTGCTGATGGTGTTTGGCATGGACGGCAAAGCCAAAACTAAACACGGGATGACGGCTTTGATGATCGCTTCTAGTCAGGGAAATGTTGACGTTGTCGAGACTCTAGTGAGCTACGTCGATGTGAATGACATTGACGATAATTGTCAGAGTGCGCTCATGATGGCCTCTTTCTGCGGACACACCAAGGTCGTTGAGATCTTGTGTCGCCGCGGAGCTGATGTCAATGCCTCTGATAAGGACGGATGGACCGCTTTGATGTTCGCGGCTCATCAAAGTAGCGTCCATGTTATCAAGGTTCTCATCAAGCACAAGTCGAATAAAGATGACACCAACAGTGATGGCCGGAACAGTGTGATGATTGCAGCTGATAAAGGGCATCTAAATGCTATGGACACTCTGCTACAGTTGGGCTCCAGTGTTGGCTGTGTGGACAAAGACGGGTTCAATGCTTTGATGTTGGCTGCCAGCCAGGGCAACGCGAATATTGTTGGATTTTTAATCAATCAGGGGGCAGACTTGGATTCCAGTAACCAAAATGGTCGCACGAGTTTAATGATAGCCTCGCGTTTCGGGTTTTCAAGCGTTGTCCAGATTCTATGCGAGAAAGGGTGTGACGTGAACAGGCAAGACAAGAAGAGGTGGGACGCTCTGATGTACGCCTCTCAAGCTGGCAACCTGGACGTGGTCAGGCTGCTCTTGAAGTTTAAGGCGTCTCTTAGCCACACCAACAACAGAGGGTGGACAAGCTGCATGATTGCGACCTGGTACGGTCACACGTCGGTGTTGGAGGAAATCTTTCGAGCGGGGAGATCAAAGCATCAGGGCTTTGCGGGTCAAAAGAAAAGACAGTCTTTATTGAATAAGTCTGATAAGTCTGGTAAAAAGCATCATGGAAACGTGAGTTGTAATGTAAACGTGAGCAATGAAGAGGGTTACACGGCGCTGATCATGGCTTGCAAACGAGGCTTTCTTGACATTGTTCAATTTCTTTACTTGTGTGGAGCTGATATCAACGCCACAAACCACCGAGGCAGGTCTAGTCTCATGTTAGCGAGTAAGCACGGGCATCTAAGCATTATTGAAATGTTGTGTCAAAAAAATGTTCAGATCAATGCGGCCGACGGGCGAGGAACGACCTCGCTGATGTTTGCTGCCGAGGAAGGACATTTAAGAGCTCTGGAGGTTCTGTGCCGCCACGGAGCTGAAGTCAAACATGTTGATAAGGACGGCTGGAATGCCTTGATGCTGGCATCATCCAATGGACACCTCGGTGTCGTAGAGTGGTTATATCTCAAAGGCTGTGAGGTGACGTTTCGCCACGAGCAAGGACTGAGCGCCTTACACATCGCTGCTACTTCTGGTCACAGAGAGGTGGTAAAATATTTACTTGCCAATTGTGTTCACGGAGGTAACAACAGAAAGTGCTATGGTTTCTCTCAAGACAGTGGAAAATCACATTACCTCGCGACAAATAAAAATGTCCTGGACGTAAATGGTAAAGATAGATACGGGAATACCGCATTAATGCTGGCTAAACGGAATGGACGCAACGACATCGTGCACATCTTAAAAGAAGCAGGTGCGTTCGATGAGGATGTGAAAGATGGTTTGCTGAGCCCAACACTGTACAGGTCATCTAGTCCTTACGAGATAGAGGTTCTGGGAAATCATATTGGGGCGCCTAAAATGGATAAAAGGCCGCTTCTGTTGGATATAGGTCACTATCACCATGAAACGGACGCTGACACGATCATAATGGACAGCCAGGAAAAGAGAAAACATCTGACAGGTGGGTGGATGTTTTTTTGTTTTTTTTTATAAATGAAGCGCACGTTAACTCTTAATTTTATTCATGTACACGCCACAGATAAGTGTTGGAGTCCAAATTGAGAACTTGAGGCAGCGCTGATGCCAACTTATTAGCTGATGAACTTATAGTGAATATTGCAACGTTTCTCAACCAAAGTTGCATGTACCTCATTGTTGTGCGGAAGGCAGTGTGTAAGGCTGCAAGAAGATTCACAGACAATCGGGTTTATTTTGTATTTGTGTTTATGGGGTGGGGGTGGAAAGGGATTTTGGGCAATGTTTCAGAATCAAGATCAGGCTGGGAGCGGCAAAAAATGTTAAAAACTCTCTGCTATCTTAATATGTCCAAATGAAACTCTAGAAACCATCCCATTGAATAACATGATCTAAAGACCTTAGTTAAAATTAACCATATTGGCAATGCATATATATAATAAAAGGCTTTAAAAATACTTATTCCAATTACTTAGAATACCTGATTTATAACCTTGTACATTCATGATTTACACATATGTTTTTCCTGCTGCATTAAAGGCATGTAGTGTTGTTTAAAATTTCCCACACCCTTTCCCCTTAACCCCACTCCACTCAGCAGACACAGGTCCGACCCAAGCTGAATCGTAGAATTACTAATATTTCATGAATTATTTTCTGTTACATGTACTTGAAGCGTGTTACCTTCATTTAAAGAACAAAATGGTGGCCCTATTAGGATAAAATTCATGAATAAATGTAATGTTCATTAGACAATAGTATTTTTAAATAACATCGAGTCATATGTTTTTGGACAGGTTCCTTACTTAACCATGACCCGAGTCAGAAGGTCAGTAACATCGAGAGCCAGTCCCTCCTGTCCAGTGTAAGGACCACGCCCTCAGCTGTCTCACCTGTGATGGAGTCAAGGGATGATGACACGTTAAGCGGTGAGTACCGCCCCAAGGCTGTGTTGGATTGTTGGGGTTCGAGGTTGTTTCTTGTACTGAAAGTTTTACTCGTCAGGGGGAACGCTCTCATCTCGAATCAAACTCTCTGGACTGTGACACGATGGAATCTTCATTGCGCTATATACAGTTGGTATTGTTCATAGCAGTCTCAGGGCTGCTACACTAAGGGAGTTCTATGCAGTCATAAATTTGGTATCGTCCTTAGCATTCTCTGGGCTGCTACACTAAGGGAGTTCTATGCAGTCATAAATTTGGTATCGTCCTTAGCATTGTCTGGGCTGCTACACTAAGGGAGCTCTATGAAGTCATAAATTTGGTATCGTCCTTAGCAGTCTCTGGGCTGCTACACTAAGGGAGCTCTATGAAGTCATAAATTTGGTATCGTCCTTAGCAGTCTCTGGGCTGCTACACTAAGGGAGTTCTATGCAGTCATAAATTTGATAACGTCCTTAGCAGTCTCTGGGCTGCTTTAAATTAATTGAGCTCTATGCAGTTATAAATTTGGTATCGTCCTTAGCAGGCTTTAGACTGCTACACTAAGGGAGTTCTATGCATTTTTAAATTTGGTATCCTTCATAGCAGTCCCTGGGCTGCTACACTTAGGAGCTCTATGCAGTTATAAATTTGGTATCGTCCTTAGCATTCTCTAGGCTGCTACACTAAGGGTGCTATATGCAGTTATAAAGTTTGCATCGTAGGAACCCCATTGCGTTATAAAGGGTGTAACATCCATAGCAGACTCTGGGCTGTTACGTTATAGGAACTCCATTGCGTTATAAAGTGTGTAACATCCATGGCAGAGTCTGGGCTGTTACGTTATAGGACGTCCATTGCGTTATAAAGTGTGTAACATCCATGGCAGAGTCTGGGCTGTTACGTCATGGGGCTTTAACTGCGTTATAAAGCTGGTATGGTTCATAGCAGTACAACAAAATATTTTTTAAAATATTTTTCTTTAAAAAGCTGTTAAAGTATAAATTATTTTATTTTACTTCGATCAGTATTTAAAGGTATAACGGTATAAAGGGATTCTTCTGATAATTTCGGTAAGTTAGATACCTTTAGAAAATCAATTCATTTCATCATTTTGCTTCTGTCTACTAAATTAACAGGTACTTGATTGTGTGAAGTCATATAGTTTTCTTTGTTTCATTTGTCGTTTTTTTTGTGTGTGTTATTTTCTATTTGCAGACTTACTGAAGTATTCTAAACTTGACCAAGGACTAAGAAGTATCAAAGTGCGGAGTGTATGGGGGTAGGATCTTTTCAACGAGTGTGTACCGTGTACAGAGTGTAGGAGGTTATGATCAGTTCAACAAATGTATACAGTGTACAGAAACATATTACGGACAACCTAACATTTTTTTAAAAACTTAAACAAATTTATAACGAAATGCGATATAGTATGGGAATTGTGCTTTGAGATGATTGTGTTTTTTTTTTTTTTTTAATCCACTTTAGTAGTTTATATAACAGGCGAAGGAGAACACAGCCCTGACTGCAGATATGAGACCCCTCTCTGCAGACATGTTAAACTAAAGCACTTAAAAAGATAACATAAAATTGTCTTATTGGTCCAATTAAATGGAAATATTTTTTGTTGCATCGTACATTATCAATTTTAGCAAATAAATAAATACATATTTTAACCAAGACAACATTCGACAATTATATCTATTTAAACACACGACATAATCCATCGAATAAATGTATACATATTTTAGCGTTGTGTTACAAAGACCGTTTTTGGACATAGTCATAAAATTGCAATCGCTTGATAAGACTAGCCAGAGTTAACTACATGATTCCCGTAGCGTCACAGATGCCCTAGGGGCCGACGTCCCCAATATATATATATATATATATATAAAAATTAAGCCTGTGTTACTCTCTTCACATGTATCCCGATATATTTAGAATAACGTGGTGCTGCTTTTTGTGTGTTCGTCACGCTGACAACCACTGCGGCTGGAGAGGAATCGTGCACCACGAGATGACTTTTCCACAATGTATGCAAACAGATCTATAAACTTCTACCCTAGATAGAGGGCTGTACATTTTGTGTGTGTTGAGCCGAGCAAGTTTCAAAATGTGTAGCAGTAGTTGGTCCTGTTGTTATAAATCTGCATACGTATTATGTTATAAAGCTTTGCAATAGTTCTACAGTTTTGCAAGTGCTTTAATTACCTGAAATTATTTGTAGGTACCATTTATTTTCATTTGATATTTATCGTTGACGGAATGATTTCAAATTAAAAAATTTTTTTTAAATTTTTTTGTTTGTAAACACATGTTTCGTCATATGCATTTAATTCCTTGATTACATTTTTAACGATAACTTCAAAAAATATTGTACTAACAATGCATTAACGATACGCTCCTTGTGCTCTACATGAAATCTCGTATGTTCACAATGGATATCGTACTTATATGCAGCATTCATTTTTAAGATATTTCAAATTATTCAACCAGTGGATATCTCTACGAATACAGTTTTTTTTCTTTTAAATTGTTATAAAGTTACCTCCATTTGGTGAAAAAATGTTATTGCCTATTTAAAATTATCTTTTGCTTTTTTAATTTTGTATATATTAACTTCGCTTTTGTTCGTGTATTTCTGTCTTTGAGGCAAATTCTTCGGACTCACTTCTCGTCATCCTATCAAACAGAAACTCTTCACATAGACTCGTCGCTGATTACAACACAGTCTTTCAAATTTTCAGCCCCACCTCAACTCCTAAAAATCTGTTGTTCCTGTTTTTTTTTACGGGGAACATAAATAAAATATGATTTGTTCAATGAGTGCATGTTTTGGTGTGGAGATTTAATGTGCAGCTGTTGCGATGTGCTTGGTATTCTTGTATTTGTGACGTATTAAAGGTATGCAGTTAAAAATGACATTGATATGTTTATAGGGGAACATGAAGGAAATAGGAAATGTTTTTTTCTCCAGAACTTAACCCATTTAAACAAATGCCTGCGTTTTCAATAGATGATAAATCCCGTGCCCTTGCATAAATAAATATATATTTTTTTAAATGATATAAATAATTTATCAGAAAAATAGTTGTTTCAGGGGTTGTACTCTCAAAAGAAAAGAGCTTGTAACATCGGTCATATCAGACAGTTTGCAATAAAACTCTTTTTAAAATACTTATTAATTTATATTTAAATGCTACATTTAAGTTTAAAAAATTTTTAATGTAAACTTTCTATTTGGCAATAAAAGAAATTCATTTTGAATATTATTCCTTGCAAAATCTGGATGAAAAACTCCCATTTGAAAAATTTATCTTCCGGCCGCTAACAGGAACACACGTTTTGTGCCCTGGAGTAGCTTGCTATTATTGATTAAATCTTTGGATTTATGGATTCCGATTATGTGATTGAGACGGAAAGCATTTTTTCTTCAGAAAATATTTCTGATGAAGAAATTTCATCAGAAGAGTCTGATTCCGAGAAGACTGTAAATTATCAACAATATTATGCAAGAAGGTTTGTATATGTGTTTCATTTTTTGTTTATTTAGACCAGGGGTCTGCAACCTGCGGCTCACGAGCCACATGCGGCTCTTTTGATGTCAAGATGCGGCTCTCCAGTTCCATGCGCAAATGTTAATAATGATATTATTTTATTTTTAAAACTCACTAACAAGTGGCTCTTTAAAAACTGGGCCATTTTGTAAATTGTCACTTTTGGCTCTTCCGTCTCAAAAGTTTGCTGACCCCTGACTTAGACATAGACCCTATTTTAATCATTAGCGTTTTTAATTCCTGTCTTTTACCGTTTATTTAAAAAAGAAGACGTAATTTATACATTTTATTTGAACTAAATTGTTAATGTCAGACATTTATTTCTGTTAGCTTGATGGTGGCATGTAAACAATGCCGTATCTAAGGCAATTTTTGTACACAATCAACTGTTTTCCTCAGGCTTTGTTTATCAACGGAAAGTTAATATAAGCAGAATGTTATGCATTTGATGTATTATCAGAGGCGCAGTTAGGGTTTTGGCGCCCGGGGACAAGATTCGCGCCCGGGACAAGATCTATTTTAAAGTGTCCTCTTTTCTTTTTTTTCAACACTAGAACCCATTCTTTTAACAAGAATATAATATCAAAGCACATTGCGGCGCCCCTAACCAGCTTGCGCCCGGGGACATCTGCCCCCCTGCGCCTCCCCTCGCTACGCCTCTGTGTATTATTTAGTTAGTTAATGTTATTTTTTGACCTAATATTGTTGATTTTGGGTTAGCCGTTAGGCTGGCTATGTAATCCGCGGTATATAGGTCACGGAGGTTCCCCCGGTCAACTTGCGTCTACAGCTCCGTAATCAAAATATTGGGATATTTACGTTTGTGTTCACTTAATACATGCCTTTGGTTTCTTTTTTTATACTATTGTAATTGGGGGGGGGGGGGGGAAGGGTCACGGGTTAGGTGTCCCCTCCCCCGAAGATTTCTTATTTTAGTATTTAAAGTTGCCTCTCCAGGTTCCCCCGGTCAACTTGCGTCTCCAGCTCCGTAATCAAAATATTGGGATATTTACGTTTGTTTTCCCTTAATACATGCCTTTGGTTTCTTTTTTTATACTTTTGTAATTGGTGGGGGGGGGGGGAAGGGTCACGGGTTAGGTGTCCCCTCCCCCGAAGATTTCTTATTTTAGTATTTAAAGTTGCCTCTCCCCAGTCTTCTGAACATCATTATGCTCATGGTAAACTCATATAAATGAAACTGATTTTTTTGCACACAGAAAATTTTGATACATCATAATATGGACCCTATCGTGGTTTTCAAAGATCAATTGAAATTATTCCGGCTAAGCGCCTTCTAAATTCATTCTGAATTAAGCAGTAGTCTCCCTATTGTTACCGTAGTTCTAACATCCGGGCACATCAATTTTAAAACAATCAAAAGACAACACTTTTTGCACGCGTCTTTTTCTTCTTCAACTGGTGTTGTGTCTTGGGGTGTCTGCAAGGGTGTGTCCTGGGGTGTCAGCAAAGGTGTGTCCTGGGGTGTAAGCAAAGGTGCGTGTCCTGGGCGTCAGCAATGGTGTGTCTTGGGGTATCAGATAGGGTGTATCCGGGGGTGTCAGCAAGGGTGTGTCTTGGGGTGTCAGCAAGAGTGTGTGTCCTGGTGTGTCAGCAAGGGTGTGTCTTGGGGTGTCAGCAAGGGTGTGTGTCCTGGGGTGTCAGCAATGTTTTGTGTCTTGGGGTGTCAGCAAGGGTCAGTGTCCTAGGGTGTCCTCAATGGTGTGTGTCCTGGGGTGTGAGCAAGGATGTGTGTCATGGGATGT